CCAGTGGCGTGACAATGTATGTACACTGTTTTCCCTTGTGTTAAGCTGCATTACGTACTCACTGATGGTAACGAGATAGGCAAGCGCAATGGTGCATCAATCTTTTTGTTGCAAACTCAGCGAATCAATTTTAGGCGTTGAGTACAACGCTAGAAGATGTAATAATAATTCTCATCAGACTGACACCAATTAGAATTATTCAGAATTGATAATTTTTTCAATATTTCGAATCGTTATTTTAATTAAAATTCGGTAATAATTTTCAGCTACAAAAATTTTGGTGGGAAATTCCGCAGAGGTTGTAAAAATTCAGTAATCGCAGATATAGAACAAAATTACTGAACGTCACGGTAGATTTTCCTATGTTTATCTCGGCGTAGTCGAAAAAACAGTGAAGGCATTTGGTCGTTTCGCCTCCGGGGAATTTTCTCTGAGCTGAAAAATAAAATGAAATAAAAATGGAAAAGCCCGAGCAGCCGGGTAATTTAGCGAAATGCGAGCGTTGGCTTAGTGGGACGCTGACCATGCTGGAGGAACGGCCATCCAGGGGACGAGGAACTACACCTCGATGAGCACGGCACGACATTCTCCTTGTCCCCCTTCGTCCTCTTCAATGATGGGACTCCCCCATTCTCTCTCTCATTTACTCGACTATCTGTCTCACGACCTCCTCCACCCCCTCATGGATACCCAGAAGAGCCACATCCCTAGCCTCTCCTCTCCTCGTCCACGATGTCCACCACGACTCTTCGGTAAACCACGATGATGACGCTCGCAAAGCGTGACGAAGGTATCCACCTACGAAACGGGAGTATATTCCATCATTTTTTTATCCTCTCTCTTTACTCTTGCGAGAACTGAGATTGCTGAGCGAGAGCCTGAACAAGTCATAATCGAGAGACGAAGGTTGGAACGTCATGGGAAAGGCTGAATGTGTGAATTCCAGGAGTTCATCAAATCAGAGTCAGAATTTTCAGCTGAAAAAAATTCTCCCAGCCGGGATTTGAACCTGAATCGCCTGAGTTCTAGCCCGGCGCTCAGCTGCCTGAGCTATTGACGCTTTAGGGGAATTCCCTCTTTGGGAAATTCTTTTTAGAATAATTTAAAAATAGTGAAAAAAGGGGGAGAGAATAATAATATTTGAATGAATAGGAATATTCTTGGAACGTCATGGGAAAGGTTGCTTCTGTACACATCAATAATTAGTTAGAGAGGGTAATTAGGACACGCGACACACGTAAATTGGGGGAAGGAAAATGGGGAAATGATTGAGGGTTACGCGTTCAAACGAAGAGGGGATTAACGAGGGGACACCAATGCCAATCCTTTTACCGTTATTTAATTTCAGATCCTTTTTACTCTCGGAATACTCTTTCTCGCGAGTTTTTTTTTGCCCACCATTTTATCGGGAATATGAGGAAAATCTCGGAGATTTATGACTTCAGCTCTGCATCTGATTTCGTTTCATCGGGTTTTAATGAAGCTCTCGTTGGAGTTCGGTGAGAGATGACAACCGCTGTAGTCAACATAACGAGGAAAACAGGAACGGAGATGTGTGGGGTTACGCAACAACTTGCGTTATGAATATGTACGAAAGTAACGAATACTATGACGGATACAAAAGAGAAAAAATTCTGATAAAGGAATGACGAGAGAGGTTATGTGCGGCTGCGCGTGTGCCATTGTTCGAGTCAATGGGACGACACGGTGACACATTGCGTTACTTTACGTGAGCGTAATCGGTAAATCATGTGATTTACGGTTTTTTAGGTTTCAATTTAGGTTTTTTTGTTGAATTTCCTTCATGCCTGGGTACATTCATTCCAAATATTACGGATTTTTTCCACAGACATTTTTTACATGGGAAATTTAACATATTCATTACCTCGATGTGGATCGTTAATCTTCAATAACTCCTAACCAAATGATACGATTTCGATGAGGCAAGTGTCGTTTTTTTTTTTTTTTTAATTGCCTTTCACTGTATAAATGACGAAATTTTTGAAATATTGCGCCGATCTCCTCGGCGCAATTTTCAATGTCATTGCGCTCATCGGAACCAGAATATCCGACAATGACTCATGATTATGTAAACAAAAACATTTACCAGGACGCTCATGCTTTATCTCTGTCGCGTTACAATCACATTTTCTGAATCTTATTTTTCATTATTCTATAACGTTTTTTTTTTATTTCTTTGTTGTATCATCATGGAAGCGCGCTTCGTTGGCTCACAAGTATCCTCAACACTCGTTTGAATCCTCTGGTATCTCAAGGTTATGGAAATAAATATTCACCGTAAGTGCATTCGCAAAATTTTCGCTGGGAATGAAGACGACATGAACAAAAAATTGGAATAAAATTAAAGTGAATGAGAATAGTCGGACAGTTTGGATCGCTGAAGGCACTGCGCATCACTGATGCTACGCAGGAAGCCGAGGTAGAGGGCATTATGAATTCACTCATGCAGGGGAAAAAAGGAAGAAGGGAATGCTGACATAACGAGTGATGAAAAAAGACAAAATACTTTGAACAATAAAAAAAAAATCGAGTGAGACTTTTAGTGTCACTTGTCTGTTTTACTTTCGGCTAATTCGGTCCTTTCAATACGTCAAAACACACGGCGGGGGTTTTATCCGAGGGTTGACTACCCTCCATTTTGATTTCTCCTTTACCCCGTCATCAGTCAAATGACGGATGGTTTTACGAGATGGATCTCACTGGGTGATACTGTGATTGCTTATTCTCCATAACAGATTAGATCGTGGGGGGCCACGAGGGACATGCCCCCCTCACATCAATTTATATTGATTCATTTATTTGTTTGGGAAATAATTTTCGAGATGAGATCTCTAAAATATCCAGATATATTTCATATATTTCTCATTTCCAATATTTTTCTTGAACGATTGATTTAAATGTGAGGAAATTGTTCTTGTCACTTGTTGATGGTCGGAGTGAATGAAATGTTTGCGGTTTTTCACGCGACCGGACAAAATCACTGGCTCGTGCCCCTCCACAAAGATGTAAATTACCTTATTATCAAGTTCTGTTATTACAGTCATTAGATACGTCATGGAGTTGTAAATACACATGTCCGCGTTGATTCACACATCGGCGCTGATACTTTATTCCCTGTCAGCTTTTCGTTGAGACTTTCTCAGTGGATTAAAATTGTGTTATCTACGATCGAAAATTACTTAATCTCACCTTGGTACTTTAATCGAGTAATTATTGTGATCACGGGTGAGTGTCTACCCACGAATTATCACGATACGTGCAGATTATTTACAGTAATTGTGCATTATTTTTTCTCGATCATTACAAATTTTATTCTACCAGGATAAATTTAACATTTAAAATATAAATATTCAAATTTTTTCAAATTTTCAATTCAAATTCGATATACAGTGGATTGGTAAAAATTCGCAAATCAGGGCGGATGAATTTCTGGATATCTTTTGATAATTGCATCTTCTCAAAAGTTCACTCCGGTAAACAAAAAGAGATTTAGTGAAGTGAACAAAAAACTCCCATTACCCGGAAGTTCCTTAATTCCACCAGAAAAATATTGTGCTTCCTCGTCGTGCACGTCGCCAAGACAAAACGACAGCTTGAAACCGTGTATATAAAATCAGTCTGCAGTATATAAAACCGAGGGACTGCGGCATACGGTATACCCTGGAGGCCACGAAGATACGGCTGGTGTATTTTTAATACACGAATATTCCGTCTAACCGCTCTAACTTTTCACGGATATTTGCATTAATTTTCTCCGGTGCTTCCTCGATTGCAGGTGCACAGAAAAAAAAAAAAACACTTGCGATTTGTCGCATTTTTTTTCAGGGATGAAAAAATAGAAGCTACAAGTTATCAAGGCAAAATATTATCTATTCCATCGTCGGGTTGACGTATGCAGAGACTGAATATCGACAAAAGGCCGGTTATAGCCTCGGGGCGAATCATACCTTCGTACACTTGTTCGGGTCAAACTGTTGAGGCATTGCTACATCGCTCCTGCATTGTATAGACAATGTGTGTTTTATGAACTCAAGGGTGATGGGGAAAGTAGAGTAAAGTGTAAAGGACATTTGCATGTCCAGTGACGAATTTCATTGAAAATAATATCGATTCCGCGGAATAAATCCCCGCGAAAACACGAGGGGATTATTTTAGAAAAAAAAAAATGCATAATTCGGTTCTGGCCGCGTGTCAGTCAGTCGGTTGGTAACTTTAATTAACCGAGTCGTCTTCAGAGGTATATGGTAGAAGGTGGAGCTGGATGGCCCGCGGAAAGGACGTCAAAACGAGTTCATTAAAACTCTGGTCCTAAGATATGTTCCTGAAGAAGAATGAGGCATGATGAAAAATAAATGAAAAAGAAAAATGGTGGAGAGAGAAATAAGGACCAGCGCGGCATTGTTTCAAACTATCCGTTTTACTCTTATACAAACTGGGATCGAGTAAAGAGAGGGAATCCACGCGCTGCGTGCCGGTGCGAATAAATCTCCTTCTAATTGCTCTTGTTTGAAAAAGCGAGATGTTGCACGGTCCCTGGCATCCGACAAAGGGCCCTCTTGCCCTTATATTTTCGTACATTAAACATCCAACTCCCTAGGTTAATGCTATTTCAAAGAGTGTCCGGTGCAACCTGACTTTTATCGATATTTACTGCCGTGGGAGACGCGTGTTACGTACGAACATTTGTACGATTAATTCTTTTAATTAATTGCCGGATTACCCGCATTATTCATCCTCCACTGTGAATTTTTAATTAATCTACATCCAGTGGATAGTACTGGAAAAATTGGAAATCTGTAATTAAATTTTCACTTAATGTAATTTTTGGAAAGCTAGAAATCCATTTTTTATTATCGAAAAATGACGGTTTGATCGATTGAGTTTTTATAATAATTATAATAATTTATTGCTTGAGGGTGTGAAGTAATTTTGGATGGACTGGTGAATTAATGGATTCTTTTATTCTTGATTTGATTCAGGTGAAGATCTGGTTTCAAAACAGAAGGAGTAAGTACAAGAAGATGATGAAAGCAGCACAGCAGGGTGGAGGTGGTGGTGGACAACACGGGAGTCTTTTGGCCGGTGGCCCATCGCCTCAGCCTGGACAACCCGGGGGTCTTATGCAGGGCGGTAAGTCCCATTCAAATCACCAACAACTTTCTCCAACCCCAAGAAATTTTTTATCACAAAAAAAAATGGTGTAAAAAAATCATTGACTGAAAAATAAGGGAATAATATCCCGGGTAAAAAAAAAATTGTTACCGGAATATTTTTTCCAAATTTTCAAAACATTTCTGGAAATTTTTTTTTTACCCGGAATGTAAAATTCGATTGGCATGAAACAGAAAAATAGTTTGGCCTCTCTCCAGGCAAATAAGTGGACAGAATGAAGAGGCAGATTGTCTGATCGATTTTTCGTGTTTATTTTTGTTGCAGGCGGTGGTAGTTCGGTATCGGGCAGCCCGACGACGGGTTACCTGGGTGGAATAGGGGGTGGCGGGGGTGAAAATACACCAGGGAGCTCGACCCCTGGCAGTGATATGTCACCCCAGCACAACGAGAGCCCACCAGCGCCATCATGGACCGGTGAAATGAAACACCATCCCCATGCACACGCACCCCCACACACCCACCATCATCCCCATACGCCTGGACATCATCCGCCTCCGCCACCCCCGCCACCCCATCACGCCGGATACATGCCCCAGTACTCGTGGTATCAAGCCGATCCCAATCCTGGATTACTCACGTAAGTTCTGAAAATCTAATCCAAAAATGCATGTCAGAACGTAAGATGATAAAGCTCGGATCATTCAAAGTCAAATCCCTTGAGTTAAATCGTTTGAAAAATTTTTCAAAAAAAATTATTCGTCATTTCCGTGTGAAACATAACGTAATTTTGAATTTCAGGGTGTGGCCAGCGGTCTAACATACCCAGAGTTTCCCCTAGGCTCCCTCACCGGGATTGAACATAACCCCGAAATCGGCAGTCTCACGAAGGAGGTACCACAGCGCCGGTTCCATCATCTGCGGAGAACAAGATGTGAGCGCCCCTCCAAAAAAATAGCAAAATGGTAATAAAAAAAAAATGGTCGATGATTCCGCAACGAGTAAAAATTCCGGAATTCAGTCGCGTTTATTGGGTTGGCCAACCTGACCCAGTTGGGGTTTTTTGAACTCACGGGTCACCCACCGGGACAAACCGAAATAAAAATCCTGAAATTACACACAGAAGCAACTCGTTGCACAAGCGTATCTCGGAGGAAAAGAGTATGGTCTTGGGGTTTGCTTGCGGCGGTTTTGAATTAATGAAATCCTAATGACATTTTCGTGAGCGAAACGAGGCAATCGCTGTGGCGCGAGATGTAATCAGTGTCTGTAGTTCCCCGTTCTTCCTCCACTCCTCCCTCTGTCTTTTCTGTCTGTTCTCCCGGATGAGGCAACCTCTGGATGGAATTGACCGAAAAAAAGGTACATCAGGTTGGATGAGGGAAAAAATTGACTTCACGGCGCCGGGACCTGTCTCCCTAGCTTCATTAGCGTCGTAAGGGAACAAAAAATAGAAAAAAAAATATAGGAACACACCTCCTTTAATGCTTCCGGTCGATTAACATTTTTTTCAATTTTTTGATTTCAATGGAGTGACTGGAGACCCGGAGTTAAGTGATCCTTACGTCTAAATTTTTATCTGACGCCAGGAGAAAAATCCATTTGATATTGAATTCATTCTCGAGGGGTAAAATATATTCAATATTTATCAATTTAAATTTTGGATCCGACATGAAATGTCGAAAAGAATTATTTTCATTCGAAAGGAAAATTCCTAGAAATTTTTCCATTTTTAAAATTCGATCTGAATTCGAAAATTACGAGTTGTGAACCAATTTTCATTATATTTTATCTCAGATAAAAATTGAAACTTTCCCCACGAGCACTGGATAATTCTATGTCCATCGAGAGAATGAAATGACTCCGAATGAAAATTTCCCATAAAAAATTCATCTGGAATTGCCGGAAATCGATTTAACCTCCGGTGTGTATTTTTCCAGAGGTAAATTTCCCCCGATCCCAGTAGAATTGAAAAATATACTCACAAAACAGTATAAAACACATGAGTTTGTATTCCCAACCGAGTAATCTACAGTCAAACGTAAAACCATAATTCTTTCTCCCCCGGTGAGAATATAATGCGGCATTACCATTTCTTCAATTGCATTGATTTCCGACGGAACTAAAGAAGGAAAAGAACTACAATGTGCAATTCTAGAACAATAAGAACAGAGGGAGGAAAATTCCGCGTTGAGGGTGAGAAATTCAATGTGAAAAATAATTCCAACCCCAAGGGGAAGTGCCGATACGTTTAATAAATCAAAATAAAAATTGCACACGCACTCTAAAATGCAGATCGTAGCAATCGTACAAATGGCGTTTATCCTCAAGTTAAATGCGGCAGAGTAAATAGTAATGAAGAATTAATGGAAATTATCCCAACCTGAGAATATCCCCAAGACCAAACGCAGCGTCGGAAAAATATTTTATCCGTTGAAATAATTTTCTGAATACTCTCAACATACCAGACCAATCAACGCGCTGAAAAATTTTTCAATATTTCTCTCCGCGTCTCAATTCGCGGGTTATTTTTACGCGGTGCGGGAATAAATGGAAAAATAAGGGAAATAGGTAAATGGAGTTTGACCCCGAGGGTCGAGTAGAATTTTTTCTAGCGTTTACTAGCGTCCTGGCGTATTTACCTCCGAGAAATGAATTTGTACATAAGGCGCCGGGAGCCCAAAACAATTCTAGGTATTAAGTCATTAAGTGGATCTGTGTAAAATATAACTTTGTGATCTAAGAATTGTATAAATAATAATAGTTGTAATTGATAAATAAATGATTAAATGAGATACACGTATATAGATTGACCTCATCCGAGAGTTACGTGTTTTGATGATGAGGAAGAAAATTTTGAGTGAGCGGATATGATGAATTATTATTGATGCTAACACGAGAGTATGTGCACGTGGCGAGAGAGCAAGATGTTGTCTATTATATGGTATTATAAATTAGGAAAAAAAAAAGTCACCCACACTCCTGTCCTACCCTTTCTCTCGATTATCCATTTTACCATCACCCCCTCCAATTGTACTCTGTTTTTGTAAATCCGATTTTATTTTGGTTTTCCTCTCCGGCGATCAAGTGAACGAAAAAAAAAATCGTATCCCTCCTCTTTAACATAGATGTTATGGAAGAAAACTAAATACCTTAACTATCATTATTATTGTATAAAATATGAATAATAATTAATTAATTCAATTTAATTGACATTGAATCCGATTTATTCCAATCAATTTCCCAGTTATGCGCCGATTTTTTGTGGTAAGTATGAAGTTTTTAATTAATTATTCAATTCAATTAACTCATTCGTCAATTTTTTCATGTGTTAATGAAATTGAAAGTGAAATCTAAATCGAAAATTATTAAACGGACGTTTTAGGGGAGTTCAATGATGGGAATGAATAAAAATTCACTCGAATATTGATTGGCAGTTCTATAAGTGCGAAGTACTTCATTTGAATCCATGAATAATCGAAGTACATGTCTCCTTCATTGTACACACCTGGAAATTCCTACATACTGTACAGCCGTGGACAACTGTAACACATTTTTCAACAATTTAAAACATCCTATGCACACACGTTGCCATCACTTGCTATTCGAGTTAATGAAAATCTAGAACAATTGAAATGCCAATGGCCCCAGTGACCGATTAGAGTCCGAGCTTTTTCAATCATTGATCATCAGTTGCTGTTTGTTTAACCTCAAAGAAAAAATTCGATTGCATTTAATTTTACATTACTATATTTGTATTGATGCAATAACAAGTGGCTAGAGGTACAATTTTAAACTTCACGGCAATTTTCCTAATTCACATGAATTATTTCATTTTCATAGCAGACTCTCGAGATGAAAACAATTTTTTATAATTAATATTAATTTCGATGATATTATTGTTGTCATTCTCATTTTATTTTCGGGCGTTTATTCGGGGTGAATAGGATTCAATTAATTAATTAAACTTTGTCGGAGAATAATCGACGATAAATCTACTTCTTGAATGGAAAACAATGTACGTTAGTCAGAAAATATTTTTACCCCGTGAAGGGAATAATTGTGATAAACTCCTCTTCTCTTCTCTAATAAAAATCCGTCTTTGAGACTGTTAACGACTGACAAAAGAGTCGAGTCTATTCGGGAGAAGGTCTCATTGAGCATGAGAACTGGTGCATAATGCGAACAATAGCTGAAAAAAAAAGGGCATTTGTTACTGGAATTTACCGAGAGGCTCCTTCCACAGATGTGTGTGAGGGATCTTCGAAAGTCTTCATCTTCCGAGAACATCTTAAAAGATTACCTCAAGTGAATGGAGTAGTATAAAAGTATTTTTAATGTATCCACCGACAAATTTAATTGTTCAATAAATGGCTGCTACCGCTTCGACAATTCGAGGAAGAAATAAAACTGTACTTGACGTTTGAATTTGCAGCTAATGATTTCGAGGAATCATCATCCCGATTTATCATTATTTATTTCCGAGTTTTAATGGAAAACTTCCGGTTGAAATCAGTGGGATCCGACACGTGTATCACGAGACTGCAGTGACCAATCGACCTAGATTACCATCGTTGTGTCGAGACTTCCGTTTGATAGATGAAATGAGAGTTGAAAATTGGGAATCACACCGTGAGATCTTTTTCTCGGGTCCACAGATCGGGCCCAGCAAAAACCGTCCCTTTTTTTCCATAAAAAAAATATTAATATGCAGATAATTTTTCCTCGGTGTGCTTTTTCGGGTATGATCTCGTTTTTCAGGAGGTCGATGATTTTTTCACCGGTGCTTGAGTGAGTGAATTCGATGGAAAATGGATCTCACTTTTTGGACGGTGGAAAATGGCTGATCTATTCGGGGACACGGGGTGGAAAGCGACGGTCGACTGCTAATTTGCCATTCCACGCAGCAAGAAGGGCGTGGCAGTGTCGCGCATGGGGTGGCCCTTGCTCGTTTACGCGACATTGTCCCCCTCAGCAACCCCTGAGTTTCACCCACTGTCTGCTCAAGTGCCAGTCACCCACGTACCTCTGCTCCATCTCCCATTATTATCCAGTACCAAAAAAAAAAATCTTCACGTCATAAAAGGTCATACAAATGAACAGGAATTGCTCATTAATTCATAATATCGATAAACCGTAATATTTCTGGATAAATAATATGGATAAATAATATGGAAGTCCTCGAAATAAACATTAGAAAAGCTCGAAGACACTTTGGTTTAACCGAAAAATAATGCAAATGGGAAATATCATTGAGTTTTTTTTGCCATCAAGTGCCCTGAGGACACGAAAAATTGAAAGGGAAAAAAAATCTGTCCAGGTGGTGGACCAGTGAGGCCCGGGTGTAGAGTACAAAGCTTCAGCATGTCGTTATAAACGTCAGGAACGGACGTAGGGGACTCCGCCCAAGAGATCATATGCCACGCAAGGGTTGGACCACGTGTCACCCGGAATTTAAAAAAAAAAATCACCCCCTACGTCCGTCGCGTCGTTGTAAGCCCCTCGGAGAATTATTTTATCAACAATTAATTCATTCCACTCACCTGATTCTGCAAAATCCATGATAAAAAAATTAATTCACCCGAAATAATTGAAAAAATGTGGAATTTATTTTTATTTAAATGTGGAATTGTTCTTTTTTTCTTCGCCAGAGAAAAAAGTCGGGAAAAATTAATTTCCGGGATTAAGACTATCGGCAGCACATCTAAAATACACAGAAGTCGAATTCCCCAAGAGTTCATCTTTTTTTTTTCTTTTAAGAAAGGTTTAACCTGTTCTAAAATAAACAGATTACGGAGGGTTGCTTTTTAAAATGTTGAGGCGTCACTCGAGCGTAAGGAGACAGGTATTTGAGGACGCACGACTCGACCCCATGACCCACTCGAGATTTCGTGGCTCTTCAGGTTCTTATGAAAGGGCTGGTGACACTAATCCACACGCCGACGTTCAACCTCCTATTCCCCAGGGGACTCAGATCACTATCTACTTTCGAGAGGGTACATCACCCTCAGGAGGTAGAGGTTCTTCTGGTCAATCCCCATCTCCACCCCCATTCCCTCCCCTTTTACGTGAATTTTCTCACGATTGGAACGTGCGCAAGCGCCCAGCTGCCATAAAAAAAAAATATAATCGAATTTTTAAAACTGAAATTAAAAAATTATAATCTGGAGTCCATTCCTGAGAAATGAATAATTTCTGAGGATATTATATTTTAATAATAAATTATACATAAATTTATTTATGTTAGATTTGAATTTTTCGCGCGCTCTTGCAGCGCAAACTTCACCCGACTGGCAGCCAATGAGAATCGAGGCTATGACTTCGATATATTTCGATGTAATGCTTCATTCGACTTCTTCCCACACGAGATCAATAAAAATGTGCGTTGGAATGCTCTCGACTGAGTTCTGCCCTCTCCATTGAAACTTCACATTCGAATTTTTTATTCATTCGCGTTGTGCGCACGAGAGCATTGTTCATGGGCTTCCGGTAACCGGATATCGCGGTGCACATTGACATTAATTTATAAAATATTCGCGACTCTCTCCACGCCCAAAAAACGTCCCCCACCCGAGTTTACTCTCTCCCTCTTTCTCCTTCATTTCCACCCCAGACAGAAAGCCCACACGCCCTCTATT